TCTCTCTCTCTCTCTCTCTCTCTCTCTCTCTCTCTCTCTCTCTCTCTCTCTCTCTCTCTCTCTTGTGTCCAATTGCTCCTCTCTTGCATTTCTCACCTCCTCATCGTTCTCCTTCTTCTCATGTACCTCGCTCTCCCAAGAGCAGGTTAACGGAGGCCTAAATTTTAAGACAATTTGTCATGCCCTTTATATAACAAAACCCAAGGGTCATTTTTTAACCAAACATGCCACCCATTGATAGAGTCGAGACCATACTCACTAATTGCAAGAAAGAAACGATTTTTGTTTTTAACCTATAAAATAGCAAGGTAAAATTGCATTGTCATGCAATTTTCGCCAATATATTCCGATTTCAAATATCTCAGCAGAGGGAAAAAAAAAAAAACACTCAGCAGAGGAATTTCGAATGCTCCAATTGAGACTAATTTTGGCTCACAGCAACCTTGAACCACAACAAAAAGCCAAAAAAAAAAAAAAAAGAAAAGAAAAAACCCATGAAATTCGACCCCCAAACCCTAATTTCGGTTTTGAATCCGTTAACCAAGGGGTTCCCGTTAACCACTTGTGGCTCCCCCTCCTCCTCCCCCCCTCCTCCTCCTCCGCCTCCTCCTCCTCCTCCTCCTCCTCCTCTCGTCGTTTAGTCGTCTGATCCTCGTCGACGTCGTTGTCCTCCTCGTCATCCATGTTCTGAACTCAGCCGTGTGTCATATTTTCCATCCCTAGTACTTCTCGAAGGTAGACATATTTTCCAGCCTGTGGAAGTGCTTCTTCACCCAATGATCCCCCCCCCGTCTTCGCTCCCTTCTTCCTTCTCTCTTTTTCCCTTCTCCCTTCTCCCTTCTCCCTTGTCCTCCGCCTCGCCTTCATGAACTCTTCGTTCCTCTTCCGGTTACCCTTACCGTCGCCATCGCCGGCGCCCTCTAACTCGTTCCACCTCCATTTTTCCTCCGTCGTCTTCTCGTCGTCATCGTCGCTCTTCTCCTCCTCCTCTTCCTCTTCTTCTTTTTTTCCCACGAGTATGCGAGTCCTCCCTACCTCCTCCTCCTCCTGCTTCGTCTTGCTCTTCCTCTTCTTCTTCTTCTTCTTAAAAGTATAAGCAGAGGGCTTCTTACAAGTATAAGCAGAGGGCGAAGTCCAGAGGCCCTCTATGTTTTTGTAAGAAGAAGAAGAATGGGGAAAACAGTGGCCATAGACTGCTTCTCGTACAAGCATCGATATGTCATCATTACTTCTCCGCATGTACTGTTCTCAGCAAGAAAACGCGCATCATCCCCAAAGGAGGAGGACGAAGCAGGAGGAGGAGGTAAGGAGGAAGGACTCGCAGAATCGTGGGGAAGAAAAGAAGAAGAGGGAGAGGGAGAGGGAGAAGGAGAGGGAGAGGAGGGTAGAATCCCACATGTGTGTATATAAGCAAGATGGATGTATTCTCAGTTGGTCGCAAAGTCTGGTGGTGCGGCAAGGCGATCTTGGGAGAAGCCCCCTGTGGAGTGCCAGGAGCGCAGCCTGGGCCCAAAAAAACGCGTCGGGGGACATTTGCGCGTTTCTACTGAGAACTGTTTTCACATGCGGAAGATTATCTGAGGTTGCATGTGCGAGAAGCAATCTATGGCCATTGTTTTCACTTCTTCTTCTTCCGCGGAATAATTTTCCTTCCCCTCCTTCCCCTCCTTCCCCTCCTCCTCCGAGTAATGTGAGTTGTTGTTCTTCCTGTCCCTACTCTTCTTCTTCGTCTTCTTCTACGGTTCTCAGAAGGAAGGTGTGATCGGTGGGCCGCAAGGCGAGAGGGTGTGTGGAAAGCCCCCTGAGGATGATCGGATCGCAACCGATCGAAACGCGTCGGGGAATGTGCGCGTGTGCTGAGATGAGTATGCGCTGTTATGTATTGATGAGCATTCGAAGCGTGTACGAAAGGCAGTTGGCCACTGTTTCCACTATTCTTCTTCTTCTCCTCGATCTTCTCCTCGAGTGCAGTGGTGTGTCAGTACCTCCTCGTCATCCTTATGCTGAGAACTGTACATGCGAAGAAGTTACGGGAATCTGTCGAAGTTTGTAGGAGAAGCAGTCTATGGGCACTGCTTTCACTATTCTTCTTCTCTTCTTCGTCTTCTTGTTCTCCGCGTGGCTTTTCATAAGTGAGTTCTTCTTCTTCCTCCTCCTCCTCCTCCTCCTCTATCCTGCTCCCATGCTTCTTCTTCTTCTGCTTGAGCCCAGTGGTGTGTCCGTACCTCCTCCTCCTCCTTCTCCCTCCTGCTCCCATGCTTCTTCTTCTTCTGCTTGAGCCCAGTGGTGTGTCAGTACCTCCTCCTCATCCTTCTTCTCCTTGAGCGTAATGGTGCGTCAGTAGCTCGGGGTGGATGTTAGGGAGTGTATTGTAAAGGGGTGGATATCAAGGGACGGATGTCCGGGGGCTGATGCTAAGGGGTGGATGTACCCTTAAGGGACGGATATCGAAGGGATAGAGATTTTAAAGGTATGGATATGAGGGGGGTGGATACTAAGGGGGTGGGATATGAAGGGATAGAGGTCTCGAAAAAGGGATAGATATAAGGGGGCGGATGTTAAGGAGGGGGGTGGATATTAATTGAGGGGGTGGAGATTTTAAGGGATGGATGTACCCTGGCTGTGTTATGTGTGCAATCGCTGGGGAAGAGGTTCCACTGGATTGGATTAAGCGCCTGAATCCGGATGGGTTGTATGTAAAGATGCAGAAAAGCAGATCAATCCTAGGCTACCAGAGTGAGAAAAACGGGATCATTTTTACCCGGCCAGGCCAAAAAAAAAAAAAAAAAAAAAAAAAAAAACAATTTTTATGTTAAATTTGGTAAAGAATTTAGATGTGACCCTGAGGCAAAAGTCCAATTTATTTTTCTGCATAGGACCTTCTTTGGTCCTTTCACAGCCGGGCCGCCCGGGCTAACAAGGTGACCCGGGCGGCCGGGCTGTTAGCCTAGGATGAATCCCAAATTTCTGCAACTTTTTCCTTTTCTGAAACTTTTTTTTTTCTGAAACCTTTTTTTTTCCTGAAACTTTTTATTTTCTGAAACTTTTTTTTTTCCCCGAAACTTTTTTTTTCCCTCGAAACTTTTTTTTTCCCTAAACTTTTTTTTCCCAAACTTTTTTTTTCCCTGAAACTTTTTTGTTTTGAAAACTTATCTTTTCTGGAACTTTTTTTTTTCCTGAAACTTTTTTTTTTCCCCCCCTGAAACTTGTGTCCTTTTTTTTTTGTGTGTCCTTGAAACTTTTTTTTTCCCTGAACATTTTGTTCTCGATTTGTTTAATGCAGGCCATGGGTTGCTTTGGATACCGTTATCGCTAGCGGTATGGTTAACACCGTTAGCAGATTTTCCACCCGGGGTTCAAACCCTCTTCCTGAATTTCTTCGTTGGCTTCATTGTTGATATTGCAATCGTCGGGGCCATCAAGTGGATGGTGGCCAGGCCTCGACCTTCCTATAATTCTGGAATGACTCTTGTCGTTTCCGTGGATAAGTATTCGTTCCCCAGCGGGCATGCTTCTCGTGCTATCCTGATTGCTGTTCTCTGCTCTGCATGCGGAATGAAGGGAGTGGAGGTCGGTCCAGATGTCAAGTCGTTGGGATGTGCCGTCAGCATCAGGCGACACGTTGCACAATTAGGGATTGCCACGTGGCATCTCGTTTTTGTTTGGATCTGGGCGTGCTCAACGGCAATGTCGAGGGTGTTCCTGGGTCGGCACTACCCTGTTGACGTCATCGTTGGATGTTTTGTTGGGGCTTTTGAGGCCTATATTCTTTTGCACCATTTGTGGGTGCCTGATAGGGTAGCGGAGGGGTTGCGTATCTGGCTGTTGACTAGGGTTTGCGGTCTTCCAAAATAAGGGGTCGTCGAAAATAAGGAAAATAAGGGGTCGTCGAAAATAAGGGGTGTTCGAAAATAAGGGGCCTTCCAAAATAAGGGGTGTAGAAGTGTTTATGTGTGTACATGTCAATCAAGGGTGTTCCTGGGTCGGCACTACCCTGTTGACGTCATCGTTGGATGTTTTGTTGGGGCTTTTGAGGCCTACATTCTTTTGCACCATTTGTGGGTGCCTGATAGGGTAGCTGAGGGGTTACGTATCTGGCTGTTGACTAGGGTTTGGGGTCTTCCAAAATGAGGGGTTTAAAAGTGTTTATTTATGTGTTGTACATGTCGGGAAAAAAAAAGAAGAAAAAAAAGCCAAGAGTCGATGTTGATGGTAGGCGATATGGCCTACCTACATGGGTGGAATGCAATTGAGTTTCAATTAAAATTTGAATTAGTTAATAAAAAAAAAGAGCCTGGCTGGGTGGGAGGGAGGCTGTGTGGTGGTGGTATCTGTAGTGAGTCGGTGTTGAGGGACCGATTTTTTTTTCTTTTATTCATTTTTTTTCTTTTTTCGCCCTTTCTTTTATTTTTCTTTTTTTCTTTTTTTTAAGGTGGTGTTGAGGGATTGCATTATGTTCTGTCGACTTCAAATATATTTGAAGCTGTTTTGTTAACGAGTAAAGAGAGTTATGTTCACACTAATACTTGCATTTGGCCGAATCTGGCTGTAATTGATGGCAGATGCATTCAGGAAACTTTAAGTTGTGATGATCTTAGTTGCCGCTCTAATGCGTTCGGGAACTCGTGTTTTGCTTTCTTCACACGCTTGGTCTGTAATTTGAGAATTTCCAGTTATCATTTCTTAACTGAGTACTAAATTAGTACTGATTCAATAAAGACTCCAAAGACTGCATCTCTTCAGTTGCCGCAGAGGCACAACAACAACAACAACAACAACAACAACAACAACAACAACAAAAAAAAAAAAAAAAAAAAAAAAAAA